GTATGAGAGGGTCTTTGGAAAAGTTCTGGGTCGAAGCTGCCCCCTAAGGCCGACCCGTTCTAGTTTTCCTGATGGTGAGTTTCTTGATTTGTGTCGTACCTAGGATGCTTACATGAACTTCGTACGTGTCCTATTTCGCCACAATTCCAGCATCTTATGGTCTTCGTCTTCTTGTATGTCATGCTTTTCATCATATTAACGAGCTGGTCCAGTTTATCTTCATCTTCTTCCTCTTTTACAGTCCTAACTTTACTGTAACCGCCAGAGGCCTGCGTAGCTGACTCGTATTCGAGGGCGGCGGATAAGACATCAACCAGCGTCTTGTGACGAGCTAATCGTAGTGTTCTTTGCATCTCATGATCACGAAGACCATCAATAAACGTTTGAACGGCCAACTTTTCCATCATGTCTTCGGGAGCTGTTGGATAAGCATATCGCACTAATCTGGCGATATCTACTTCATATTCTTGAAGAGCCTCATCTTTCTTTTGTCTTCGATTTTTGAGCTGCGACTGATATACATGCTCCAAGTGTTCGTGGCCATATCGCATATTTAACCTCTTCTTCAATTGTTCGAAATCATCCGTCTCCTCTACTGCTATGGTCTGGAGCACATCTAAGGCATCTCCTCGAAGAGCGATAGTCAGGTTTACAGCCTTTTCTTTTTCAGACCATCCATTCGCTCTTGCAGCTGATTCGAACTGTTTCATGTAGTTGTTCCATGATGATTTTCCGTCGAAAGTTGGGACTTTGACATGAACGGAACTTCCACTTCCTTCAAATTTCGGCCGTGTTTCCAACTTACATTTTGTCTCGTCTTCTTTTATCTCTACCGGATCTAAAGCTACCGTATTAATTGGTGGTAGCACTCTCGTGTTAGTTATCATGGTCTCTAACTGTTTGATTTTCTCTTCTACTTTTTCAAATGTTTTGGAAACTTCTTCAAATTTCTCATTATTCTTTTTCGAAGTTTCTTCCATCATTTGAGAAACATTTTCAAATTTCTCGTCGAATCTTTTTGACACATTTTCGAGTTTCTCGTCGTTTTGTCTAGCTACTTCTTTAATAATTTGAGACGTTTCATTGAATGTTTTGGAAACATTCTCATCATTTTTTCTAGAACTCTCTTCGATCATTTGTGAGACATTCTCAAATTTTCCATCGATTATTTTAGTTAAAACGGCTTCTTCTGCTGACTGGAACTGGAATGTCTCTGGGTCGTCTCCATTCTTGTTGAGAACAGTCTTCAGTCGTTCTTGGAGGATATTCTTGGACCCGCTGCAGTCTTCATCGCGTTCTTCTAGTTGCTCACGCAACTGTTTCACTGAAAGTTCTACTAGCAGCATCTTTGGTCAGGCACACACGTACTTTTTAAATGTTCTTTCGTACAACGATCACTACTGAACTACGCGGATGTTCCCGACGAACAATACCTTTCAAAAGTTCAAAAGTCTTTTTCAAAAATCAAATTAAATTTATCTACGATCCCACTTCTGCACCACTGTGGAGTTTGTATAGTTCTAATTTATTTGTCTTTATTCTAATTTATTGTCTATAATCTAATTTATTAAAACTCACGATAGCTAATTACTAATTTATTAAATAACTTTACAAATGTATTTATTTCACGTTTCGTTACATTTAAATGCCGCGTTTACCGATCTTCTTATGACTAACTCAAATACAAAAATCTTTCATTTATATACACAACTGTTGTCATCTGGAACTTTCGGCAAACTTCCTGAATAATCTCGTATTTTGGTGAAGGCGCTCGACTCGTTTTTCAACCTCGAGACGTGGATGACTCACTAAAATTAGTGTCTAGAGATTTCTGTAAACAACTGGTAGCGAAGCTCAGGTATATTTTGACCTACAAATTACGAGAATCAATAAAAAAGAATTAGTCATAAAATATTTACAGTTCTATATGCCATAACATTTAAAATCGTAACAGTATACAATGTGATCATCTACAGTTACTTTTCCAGACCCCGGACATCTCATTTCACTTATTCCAAGAATAGTTATATTTAGACGCTTCATTTCTTTAATGGTGTTGTGAATTTTTCCTGGTTCGTACATGCTTCTTAATGCAAAAGATCGCCAGTGTTATTTATGCCTGTCCAGTTCTTTATGTTCCGTAGCCACGACATTTGTTTGCGACCTACTCCTTTCTTGCCTTCTCTTACTGGACACCATATAGTTACAAACGAAAAAGAGGAAGGCCACAAATGAGACGGTCAGATGACTTGAAGAAACACGCAATCCCGAAGTGGATACAAATTGCCTACAATAGAGAGACGTGGAAGAAGGAAGAGGAAGCCTATGTCTAAAATTGGACAGCAAGAGCTGTATAGATAGATAGATAGAGAGAGGTTTTTGTTATGTGGCCGATCTTATGGTAGATCTCTCTCTATTTACATTGTTGTCAGACTTTCCGTTTTCTGGAAATGTAATGAACTTTGTTATTTCAAACAGATCACTCTGTATTCTTTTTTCTTTTTAAAGTTTTAACAAATAATGAATATTTTTAATGCAATACCTCCCCTATCTATCTACCATGACTTCGAATGTATAGCTAAATTTATATCTATAGCTATATTACGTACTACTTACAATAAGATGTCCGTGTTTGAATGAACTCGTTCAATTAAAATAATAATTTATAACCTAATTGAAATTCCATAACAAAATTAGTATAGTTAGTAGGATGTGTGTTCCAACCAACGAAAATTTGACGAAAATTTTTCTGTTGGTTACGGTACGTTAATGACAACTTTGTCATTTGGCCCCACTGGTAAAAACACACACCTCATAGTTTTTCCTATTCCTTGTACCGGAAACACACCCATACAAACCGTTATCTCAATGCTTAGTCTCATCGTCACCCCGACCAACTCAGTTCAGTTATTAACACTCTTATTTCATGTTCCATAAGACTTAGCAACGATAATCACAGGTCATCCTGAATCAATTCTATAAGGCAAACACCCTTTAAAGCGGCTACTACAAAACCCAAATCAATAGGAGCATTCAAGAACATTTAAACCCCATTTCATCCAAACAAAACCTTGCGCCTGATCGACCAAGAATCTTTCTACCTTTTATTGTCACTGACAACATCAGTGGAACTCTTAACCCTCTAATCAAAACTATCTTTACTACCCACTAAAAGTTTTCCAATCTCATCAGACCCATAAAACACCAAATCAAAATAAAGACCATGGTGTCTACGAGATACCTTGTTCCAGTTGTCCATGAACATACATACGACAGACAAACTGACGAATCTACAACAGTATTTACGAACATTCTATATCTGTAAAACATTCCGATACTACTTTAGCCCTAGCCCAACGTCCAGGGGTGGACTAAGACTTAGGCAATCTAGGCACATGCCTAGAGCTCGTCATTTTTGGGACTCGAAAATTTGATTTTTAATTTTTATAACTAACTTTTGATTTTATTCAACAGAAAAACGTCATATTCATAATTATTGCTGAAACGTGTCTAAATTATACCTAGTTGTTGATTGATAAAGTCCACAAGGTTGGACGAGCGTTCCCGTGCTTATCATGAATGGAAAATTGTACATAAAAACTTTTCAGAGAATGAAAACTCCAGAGACCCCATTAACTCCATTACTAACTGTCGGGAAAAGCATTATAATAATGCAGTCAATATTTGGGAGGACTCCAATCCTCCATTTTTTTTCCTATTTCATACCATGCGCCAATCATTCTTAAATTTAATTGAAAACGCTGCTGTCAAAATTTTCACGGAAAATTTGCAATTTTTTTAATCTCGTTCAATAATTGTACGTATTTTTTTCTAGTTTTATATATAGATTGAATGCATTACAAAAATTTTGTAATGGCATACACTTAAGTATTAAACCTATTTGTGACACCAGGTTGTCTGCTCGTTCGGTTGTTGTGAAATTTTTAAAGGAAAATTATGAAGAAATTAAACATTGTTTATATTATTTTTCTTCTTCAGAAGAAGAAGCATAGGGAGGCGTCGAATGTCATGGCTGCGCAACCTGAGAGAGTGGTGCGGATATACACCAAATGAACTTTTCAGAGCAGCCATCTCAAAAGTCCGAATAGCTATGATGATTGCCGACTATTAACAATTAGATTATGTACCACTAAAAATATTACAGAAGTAATTATCAAAGAAGAACATCACCTGAAATGAAATGAACTAAACCTTCCCGTAGAAAACAAAAATAAATTCGTCACCTGTCGATTTGAACTTGATTGACTATAATTTAAAATGAAAAACATATCTTGACTGTAAAATATTCAAGTCATTACAATCATAAATTGAAAAGAATGAAGTTATTACATGAAAAAGCCACGACGAAGAAATAACAGAAACTGGACAGGAATCATGGAAAAAAGTAAAATTCTTCTGCGTTGATGAAGAGCAAAAACACTTTCAAAAATGGTCGTAAATCAATATTAATAGAGAGAACATGAGAAGCAGAAGAATTTTTTACTATTAAAATTTAACGCATTGTATTGTAAAAACCTTTCCTACCTTCACAGACACTTTTGAACCCTGTATTCCTAAATGATTACTTTTGCATACTACCCTCATTTCAAAAATCAAGCAACTCTAAAAATCAATCCCTTTCCGAGTATCCTTTTCCCTTTCGTCGCCGAATAACAAATGATTCCCGAAATTCAATCCTGTATCATATCATCGAGTTACACAAAAGTCCCCTATTTAAAGGGCGTACAAATTAAGGAGGGGCATATCCTCCACTCCACCAATCGCCGACACGCTCTGAAAAACAAGGGCTAGTCGCTTTATTAAAGTTCCTTTTATACAAATCTAGTACGTGTCATCCTGGTAGGCGTAGGAAGTACAAAGGGTCGATAAATGTTGCAAGGGATTGCGACGGCGCAATTTCGCGTCCGATCTTCAGTTGATTCTGTGCCGGTGTAGGAATAAAGTCCTCCGGATTGTCCTGTGCGGGCAGTGTAGTTAAGATGATTAGTGGGAATAGGGACGAAAAGAACGGGTTGGATATTGAAATGTTTAGGGTGCCGCCAATTTCTCTAGATGACATTCCTGATATGTTACTCTGTAAGTTAGTATTTTTTATTATCATTTTATGAAATCCTTTCATATCTAAAAAAACACACAAGATATAACCTTGTTGTATTCTCAAGCGTTAAGGACTATTTAGCTAATAATTACTTATTTTAGTCAACAATATACATTTATCCAATGGTGATATTATAAAAGGTTTATTAAATTTTTGTAAGAAAATCGTCAAATATTCCAACCACCTGTAAAAATGTCTCTAAAACAGGTGGTAACCATAATTAAAAAATACTTAAGTTTTATTTAGAAATGGCTTTATTTAAGAACTGTATTCTATTCTCTCCCTATATTGAAGTTAATGTATAGTCTACTTGTATGCAGTGTGTAAAAGCCAAATGAAATGAATTCATTATTTAGGAAATAATTCATTATTCATTATTTATTTATTTAGGTTACTGTACATATTTATAAAAAATCCCGAAACACGTCAAATTTAAATTATAACTTGACATTATTTAACGTAAAAATGCAACCCCTACCTTCAACCCCCTTAGAATGACAAGTACAACCCAAAATTTTTAAAATAGGAAGTATAGGTTTGTGATATATCGTTTGAAAGGCCTTTTCATTCTCCATTCAAAAATGTTATCGCTTTCAAGTTTATTAAGATTAATTAAGATAAAATAAATTAAAATCATGTGGTTACCGAAATTCGCTACAATACAATCAAAAACTAAAATGTAATGCAAAACGTAATAAAATGTAGAACACGAAAAAGAACTATGAATGCTAATGAAGTAGATGTTCAAAATGTTCGCCGCGAACGTCTTGGCAACATCCTAATCTCAAATAAAACTGTCTTCTAATATTATTTAACATAACAGACGTGATCGACTTAATCGCAAGCGTTATTCGTTCTTTTATGTCGTTTAAATCAGAAGGTTAAGTTTTGTACACATAGCTCTTCACATATCCCCATAAAAAGAAATCTAATAATGTAAGATCAGGTGATCGCGCTGGCCATTCAATCGATCCTCGCCTCCCTATCCACCGATTGAAAAATATTGTATCGGGGTACTGCCGGACATTAAGTTGGTAATGTGGTGGTGCTCCATCCTGCTGAAACCATATCGTATTCGCTGGAACTTGAGGGTTTCCTGGATAGGATATAAATTTGCCAACGTTGGAATGACATCATTTTGAAGTAGTTGACACAAATAATTGTTGCCATTCAAGTTGCCCTCAATGAAAAAAGAACCAATGATATTGTTTCCTACAATCCCTGCCCAAACATTAACCTTTCGAGGGTATTGAGTGCGTTCTTCTCCCATCCAGTGAGGATTTTCCGTGGCCCAGTAGCGGCAATTTTGCCGATTAGCATGACCGTTAAGTGAAAAAGTACACTCATTAGAAAACATAACGTTTTCTAATTGAATAATATTGTTATTCAACATGTCCATCATTTGCTCACAAAAAAAAGTTCTCCTATCAAAATCGTCTTCCATGAGCTCCTGAGTAGGTATCATCTTATAGGGATGCAATTTATTTTCTTTTAATATGTTTACTATCGATGTATGGCTAGCATTGAATGTAGTGGATGCCTGTCTACTCGATGTATGTGGATTTTCCTGAAACTCAAGCAACACATCTAATTTGGGTTCATCACTCAGTGCATTGGCAGCTGCTTTTTTTATCTGTCTTACATGACCAAACTCGCGAAACAGCTTCTCTATTTTACTTATTGTTCCTTGGGATATAGGCGGTAAATTAGGAAATTTCTCATGAAATAGGCGAGTTACTTCTTGTTGTGTTCGGGTGTTATCTCCATAACCAATCTTTTGTAAAACTGTTATTTTATGCATTTCCGTTAATCTTTTTACGAACTTTTTACTTAAATTAAAATACTAACAACTTAAATAAAACAATTTACTAATGCGTGTTAAAATAACGTTGCCATGGAAATTCTTTAAAGTTTTTTAATGGTTACCATCTAAAAACCACATTGCTATGGTTTTTCTTCACTTTCTCATTATCAAGACCTAAACGGGAAATAAGTTTTAGTTTTGGACTTGCTTCACGAGTTTTTTTGAAAGCCTAGTAGGTGTAGTAGTCGTAGCTAAACTCTCTTTAAGACTATGTAGTTCCGGCCAGATTATTTCGTATTCTAGGTTAACTTTGTTGTAAACCTGAGTGGTTCCTTGTTTATTTCATTAGACTCTTCATTTTTACCATCTTCCCGAGTAACACTGCCTTCATGGTCATTTAAATTTTCAACTGCATAAAAGTCATGATCTTTGAAGACCATGCAATCAACAGGTCATACTCCGCTAGTTCTGAAACCATTGACTACAATTTCAATATTTGCTGCTCTCCCATAAACTTCAGAAATCAAGCCAGCTACATGAAGTTGTGTAATATATAATTTCGGGTTAGAACGAAGCCACTTTTCAATTAATTGAGTGTGCTAGTCTTTGAAAGGCTTAAAGAATGATCTATCCAAAGGCAGCACGCGATATTTCGGATGCCTAGGCAATTGTGGCAGTATTAGACATTAAACATCAGAAAATAGCAACAGGTCGTCAAAATCCGAAAAAAGTGGAGACGAATATTAGAGCAGGCCAAGATTCACAAAGGATTGTCGAGCCAAAGATGTTAACTCCCTTTCTTATTGACAATTATCTCGAAATAATTTTTAGTTATTAGTTATAAGTTTTTACACCCTTTATTTTTTCATTTTCTACATCTCAATGAGCTGTTTTATCATTGCCCACTATTAGATATTCACATTTTTCCATATTTATTTTTAGGCCCACCGTTTCATATTCGTCTTTTAATTTCCTTATCATATAGCTAAGATCGTCCTCATCCTCCGCTCTCACTATTTTGTCATCAGCAAAGAGGGTGTAAAAAGCTTTTTGTTATATCATCTTTATTTCCATGCTTTGGCATTTCCCCACACATTTCTGTAGGGATCTGCCTCAATAAATTTGCAAAGGATGGATGATAATCTACATCCTTGTATCAAACCCTTTAGATGTTTTAAACGGAGAGTTTTTATTCGTATTTTAATTCTTGCAGAGTTCTCATAATACTTTTGAGTAGTCTTAATAAGAAGTGAATTTACTTTCAAATTGCCTGCTTGTACTTTAGAGACCCATGGTCTCCATCTAGTCATACTTCCACTTCAACTTTCTTGGCTTCCAGATACATATCTGGCCAGTTCCATTTTGAGAAACATACACTTTGTATTATGTCTTTGAGCATACTTGTCAAGGATAAAATTAAATTGCTTTAAATCAAATGACTTTATTATATTCCTTATATTATTCATGGAACGATGTCGATATTGTATTGTTGCATTTCCTTTGTTACTTTCACCATTTTTCCCCGTCTTAGCTATGCTTTATCGTCCCATGTTTCTAGTTTTATTCTATATTAATTCGTGTTTTTTATACCTTTGAATTACTACTTCTTCTAACTAACAGTATTTTTAGTATAATATATTTAATTCGTGAATTAAATATATAAACGTATGAAGGCTAAGCAAATAGTAAACTTCTGACTTGGTAGAAACCACAGTTGAGTGATATATATTCAAAAGTATACATAGGTCAGACAGTAAGAACTTTTAAAGAGCGGTTAGAAGAACATAACTGTTTGCAGCACTTTTTTGAAATTTTTCATAAACATAACAATTAGGCGAAATACTAGAAATAAATCGTTCTCAGTGAAGAAATAAAAACCTCCCTGCGTACCTACAGGAAATATAGTTTGTAGAAAGACAGCATATTAAAGAACATGTTTTTAGATTAAATAATACTGATTTTTGTGTGATCAATATTGCTCTGACCCCTTCTATACTCAAAAAAACATGTTTATATTAGAAAGTTTTATTAAGTTATTGAGCCCATTCTATATATTGACTATTTACTATTAATGTCCCCTGATGTCTCTTATTTTTGACCGTACTATGTTTTTTTCAAGAAAAAGTAATATAACGACTTTATTAGCGTCTAATTTATTGTCTTTATTATTTAATTTATGTAGATTTATGTAAATTTATAAGAGAGGAAACAAAAGTGAGCGATGTTAGACAAGAAGTTGAAAAATTGAAATTGAGATTTGCCGGACACAATATAAGACAAAAAGAAGACAGATGGAACAAAATTCTTATAAGTTGGAGACCGTGGGAATATACACAAAGCAGAGGAAGGCCCCAAATGAGATGGGCAGATGATATCAAGAAGCATGTGGGCTCTAGATGGATGACTGTAGCGACAGACAGAGAAGAATGAAAAAGAATTGGGGAGGCCTAATTCCAAAGATGGACCGAAGAAGGCTAATTAGATAGATAGATTAACTAACACTTATCACTAAAACTGAAATGAAACTACTATAATTTACATTTTTTGATTACAACTTGCTTGGCACAACAATTTATTTGAGACTTATAATACCGAATTTACAACACCGACTGCCTGAATCTGAATTATTTCTGTATTTATATTAAGTTTCGTTAAACTAGAGTTCCCCTTAATTTTACTAGATGAATGTGGACCGGTTTTTTTACCTACGATAGTCTTTTCTCGATTCATCGGAACCAGTTTTGAAGCCTTTACCATCAGCGGCGAAGGGTTTGGACATATACTTGTCGACGCTTAAATCTTCAAGAAAATCACAGGTCGGTGACCGGCAGCTAACACAACAGTATCCTATATAACATCATAGTAACATGAAATACTTTTTCTTTTAATATCTATAATGGCTTTATGACTGCATATTTAATTGAATATTGATGAAGAAGCCACTTTCTACCAATTTAGATAGTATATTAGTATGAACTTAATACAAACTGTTATTGTTTGTTGCAGCTACAATCCCAAAATGCGGAGGATGTCACGAGCTGATTTTGGACAGATTCATTCTAAAGGTAGCAGACAGGACGTGGCACGCCAAATGCCTTCAATGCAGCGACTGCAGAGTACAATTAACCGACAAATGCTTCGCTAGGAACGGACAACTCTTTTGTAAAGATGATTTTTTCAAGTAAGTATCAGATCTAACTCAAACTTAACAGAGATTTATCGGTTATAAATGCATCGTTTAAAATCATTAAGATAAAATGTGATATAAAATCAGTTAACAAGAAATAGTAAGGTTTATTAATAAAATAATTGAAAGAGCGAATAACTAGTGTTTTTAAAACGATTTTCTTTTTTTATTTCTTTTATTGTCATTCTTGTACTTGTGGCTCTATTCATCCATATTTCTTTGGGAATGCCGTTGGCCAGAGCATCACTGTTACGAACGACGAGCGCTATAAGTCGATGTGTGTTTTTAACATGTGGTTTTAACAGGACGGTACTATGTACCACAGAGCTCATTTCACATTGGATATTCTGCAAGAGCGGCTTAAGGGAATGATTGTCTCACGTGGAAGTCAATAAACTGGTCATCGAAATAGTGCGACTTATCCCCGTTAAATGAAAATGTACAAAAATAAAATACAGAAACGATTTAAGAAGAAAGAGAACAGAATAAAAGCTTAGAAGCATTGAAATGAAATCTGGCAGGACGAAGAAAAGATATTTATACACTTCGTCATCCGAAAGATGCAGATAAAGACCAAATAGTGAAAGATTTCTTCAAACTGCTATCCAAAAAATATACCACTAAAAAAACCGTAACAAATATTGCAGTAGTTTGAAATCAGGATTCAAAAGATATACCAAAAATTACATTATGAGAAGTTGTAACGTCCTTAAGAAAAGTGAAACAATCAGAGACATAGGAGAAGATGAAATTGTGATTAAAAGTGTTGAAGTAGAAAAAAAACTCTTTAAGTCCTATTCAATCCATTTAACAGTTAATAAACTGAAAAAAATCTGACGTCATGAACAATACCATCACTGTAATTATGGATAAGGAGGGCGACCCCAAAGAAGATTTTAAAAACTACTTTCAATCTTCTCTTCAGGATTACAACTTATTAATAAATATATTAAAAAGATGATTAAAGAGCAGGCAATCTTTAGATCTGCTTATGCTACAAACGACCACTTATTAGTATATATATATATATATATATATATATATATATATATATATATATATATATATATATAATCGGTTTAAAACGTCCTCCGACGTCTTCCGATGCCCAATCTCCATGCATCTTTATCTTCCCAAAGATCTTCGTCTAAACCTCTCTCTCGGACCTCTCTGTCTATTCCTTCTCTCCAGCTCTTTCTGGGTCGGCCTTTTTTCTCTTTCCATGTGGTGACCAATCTATAATCTGTTTGGGCAGACGATGTTCTGGCATTCTCTGCACATGTCCATACCACTTTAGTTGTTGTACTCTTATATCTTCGACAATCGTATGTGTGACTCCCATACTGTATGACTCTCGTATACGTTCGTTATTAATTCTTTCGAGTTTTGATTTTCCTGCGGCCCATCTCCAGTAGTCCATCTCCGTGGCTTGTAGTGTTCTTTCAGTAGTTGCCTTTAACTGCCACACGTCACTTCCATACATTACTATGCTCTTTATAATAGTGTTGTATATTCGATGTTTATTTTTTTTGGATATATGTTGATCCCAGATAATACTATTTAGTTGAGATATGGCCCTTCTACCCTGAGTGTTTCGTTTTTTTATAGCCTGATCTGATTTGCCGTCGTCTGTGATTTCTACTCCTAAATAGGAATATTTATTGTTGTACTTTACTCCTAAATAGGAATAATGTGTTGTCCGTCGTTTAAAACTAGATTTTGTTCTTTACCACCGATGTTCATGTACATTGTTTTATCTATGTTGACTTCTAATCCCCATTTTTTGTATTCTTCGATTAATTTTCGAGTCATGTATTCTAGGTCGTCATATTCGTGAGCAATCACAATTTGATCATCAGCAAAACATAGAGTGTACAGGTTGTTATTGTTTAATTGTATACCCATGCCGCTGCATTTCCGCTTCCAGAGTTTTAATGCTTGTTCCAGATATATTTTGAAAAGTGTCGGCGCTAAGCAGCATCCCTGCTTCAGTCCTTTGTCTACTACAAAACCTTTGGAAACATTCGTTCCTATTTTAACTTTGGCGTTGGCGTTCTCATATAGTTTTTCCACTGCTGTAATGAGATTTGAGTTGATGTTCGTTTGTCTGAGAGTGTTCCATAACTAATTTTGAGGGATGCTATCATAGGCCTTTTTTAGATCAACAAACAAAACTTACTAGTTACTTACCACTTATTAGTTATGAAGTTGATTGTAGAGCAGACCACAGATATTTAACATCATCATCGCTTTCTTTCTTAGCCCTACTAGAAGTTGGCTTACCTAATTACATGTATAAAGAGTGAACGGAGAGATAACATACAAGTGAGACTCAAATAGAACAGTGAGACAAGAAAAGATGAGTGTTGAAAACTCAAAAAAATGAGAAAATTAGTATGAAATAGATATGTGAAGCATGAAAGCAATAATAAGTAAAGGAAAAATGAAGCAACAGAGAAAAATAATGAGGGAATATGTAACCTTGAAATACAAGACACAAGTTGGAAAGGCGGAGAAACAAGTAACAAGTTATTAGAAAAGATGAAATTATTTTAAAAATAACTGCTTAAAGTTATACAGAACATTATTAATAAAGATAAAAACAAACTTATAGTATTATAAAAATATGTAATAGAAAATAATAATAAGTTATCTCTAAATACTTTGGTGCCAAAGTATTTAGAGCTGATTTTAGGTATATTTGGGGAGCTGATTCCGAATATGGCTTTAGTTTTGCCCTATCAGCTATATTTTTCAAGAAACCCTAGGTCATGCTAGCTTTTATGCATTGAAATACGAATATATGAATATGGATATAATAAATGGAAATAAAAATCACACAATTAGGAAATACATGTAGAAAGTACAATGCAACAGATATACAATTATTAGTTTTGAGAAAAAAACTAACAAAATAAAAAAAAAACTTTACTTGACGTAACGAAAGCTTTGCTTGCGTGATTTCCTAAAATGAACTTTTAAACAGTCTTTCTTCAAACTCCATCAAAAATCTGCCATCATATTGGTATCTTCCCTTCCTTGGTAACGGTTCTCCATGGTTTTTATGTCTTGCTGAAATCGTTTAGTTATTTTTGACTAAATAGTTGTGGGTTTGCTGTTGCCCAGTCGTAATCACTGTCTTTACTGGAGTCAAAAATGTCACCTTCATCCTCACAAATGACAGGTAACTTGTGGAATACTGAGATTGGTAATTCCTCTGAGTGGGTTGCTGGACGTCTGACTGAAGGCAAATCAGGATATGACCACCAAAAATTATTATTTTATCAATTCTGCAAACTAATAAAAAAAGTTTGGAGGCGCCGGGCATCGATCCCGGTACCTCTCGCATGCTAAGCGAGCGCTCTACCATCTGAGCTACGCCCCCTGATACACGGTGCTTATAGATAACAGACAAAGTGATCCAATTTGTCTTTTAATAAATTAATTCCGTAAAGTAATAAACAAAATGGATTTGGAGGCGCCGGGCATCGATCCCGGTACCTCTCGCATGCTAAGCGAGCGCTCTACCATCTGAGCTACGCTCCCTGATACGCGGTGATTATAGATAACAGAAAAAATTATCAAATTCAAGTTTTAGTTTTTTAATTCTGCAAATTAATAAAAAAAGGATTTAGAGATGCCGGATATCGATCCTGGTACCTCCCGCATGCTTAGCGAGCGCTCTATCATCTGGGCTGAGCCCCTTGATACGAAATACTCATAGATAACAGACACCTGACCTAGTTTATTTTTTATTGAATTAATTCTACAATGTAATAAATAAAATATGGAGTTGGCACTTGGCAGCACTGGGATGGGAATCGATCCTGGTACCAAAGAATATAGACGCATATGCGTGAATATTACCTACCTCTGGCAAACCAACCGATCACTTTACTATCTGAGCTACGCCTCCTGATTTTCTGATAACAACTGCTTATCCAGAATTGGAAAAATTATGTAGTTTATTTCTTTACTTGATTAATTCTGTAGGTATAGTAAAAAGAAGTGGATTTAAAGCCACCGAACTAGTTTATGTTTTTTAATTAATTATGTACCTACCTAATTTAATCAACTACAGTTAATTTTATTATCGATGACCTTTTTTTTACATCCAAAAATCGACGTGAGGCAAATTCAATATGAATTTTATTTGCTGATGTTTAGATGTTTTTACTTTTCAAGGTGATCTGAAAATTCTGCCATCGCATATCCGATTTTTTCCTAGAAAATGGACTCGATCATGGTCGTATAAAAAAAATCATTATTTATACGTCCATGTATGCGATAATGCTAGTGGTATATGCAACTCTAAATACAAATCAAATAATACAAAACTATTGAAGCTAATAAACGCAGTAAGGCAACTCACAATTTACCTGTTCTTTCAAGAAATGCATGCTAGGAGGGCGTAAAGGTAATGTATATAGTACAGATTGTTTACAACTGTCGTTGTTTTCCTGTCCCTAGTTTCCATCGTTTCCTATCTCGGGTGTCGGCTTCATTTAGCTGTCTTCCTTCCATGGCTTCATTCACGTCATCTCGCCAGCTTCTTCTTGGACGCCCTCTTTTCCTTCTTTCGGTTGGGATCCATTTTAATATTTTCTTTGGCCACCTCTCGTCTGCCATTCTGTTTACATGACCGAACCAAGTTAGTTGTTTTTTCTGGACTTCATCTATAATGTTTTTTTCTTGCTCCATTCTACCTTTTATTTCTTCATTGCGGATTCTGTCCATCCTTGTCAATCTACATCTTCTTCTCATAAAATCCATCTCGGTAGCTTGTAATTTTTTCCTGTTTCTTTTACTAGTGTCCCATATCTCTGCTCCGTATGTTACCACCGGCTCAACCATCGTCTTATATATTCGTTTTTTCGTCGTTCTTGTGATTTTTTTATCCCAGAGAATGGAGTTTAGGCATTTGATAATGTTTCTGCCTTTGTTTATTCTTGTATTTATTTCTTCATGGCTATTTCCGTCTTTTGTAAACACTA